GCCAAACCTGCCCCCTCCAACAGTGTCATGGGATGGGGTATAGACAAGGGAGCCACTCAGGCTTTACCAAGTCGTCTTGGCACTGGGACACCATATGGCCAGAAACGATCTGAATATTCCCCAAATGCCCCCAACATTGAGTCACCATGTCCTTGGAGTCTCCAGCAGTTTCCAGGGAAGTTCTGGAGCATGCTTCCTGGGACAGACCCATTCAGCCTCTGTTCCACATAGATCATGGACCTCAGCTGGAAGGGACTTTAGAGAACATTACTCTCACAATGCTCTACCCAGGTTTTCAAGGCAATTTCCTCCACCGAATGCCCCTGAGAAGTGAAGTCATTCAGTATGATCAACCTCAGTTGACAGATGAGCAAACTGAGGTCTGGAGAGATGAAGGGACTTGTCCAGGGTCACACAGCTAGCAAACAGCAGGGGCAGGACTCAAACCCAAGTCCAGTGGACTGACTCTACCGGCTGTTCTAGTGGCTCATCACTGCAGAGCACAAAGGCGCCATTAGAGGGCTTGGGGCTCCTCTGGGGATGGGGAAAAGGAAAGGGGCAAGCACCAATGAAGCCAGCCTACTGCCCCAAATGCTAAGGCAGCGTCCCCACTGCGGGGTTCTACTGCTTTCCCCATCTGACCTACGCTCGGGGGCTCCCATTCGCAGAGGCGAACCCTAAACTTTACCATCAAATCTCAAGAGTTCTAAGACATTGACGAAAGAACGCTGGCTCTGGATTCGATCAGGAGAAAGTGGATTCAAATCCTGACTTTGATATTTGCTACCTTTGTGACCCTGGGCAAGTCACTTAATCTCTTTAGGTCTCAGTTTCCTCATCTGTAAAATGAGGAAATTGGCTACATGGCTTTTCTCTTCCTTCCTGCTCTAAATCCAGGCTTCTGTGACCCTACGGCTTCAGAAGCCATGGGTCAGTAGAACAACACTCATTTAGTCCCACTCCTACTAAACAGGAACTCTTTAACCAGTGGTCATGCATAAGCCCGTCCTTTCCATTTCTTTGCAACTCTAACTGTTGGGAAGCTTCTCATTAAACCTTGAAGAAATCTGCTCTCTTGTGATTTCCACCCATCTCGTTCTTATTCTGTCCTCTGGGGCCAGGAAGAATAAGACTAAGCCCTCTTCCAACCTGATGGCTTTCAGGTATTTGAAGGAAGCTATCAAGTCCTCATGTGGCATGGTCCCTGGTCCCTCCCATCAGACTAATCACCCACCTTTGCCAATTTCCCTCCTCAGAGTTAACTCCCAGAACTGACTGTAACCCTCCCCAAAGGTCTAACCAAGAAGGAGAGTGACACTATTACCTCCTTCGTTTAAAAACCCTCCAAAACTTCTCTATGTCAATACCTTCCATTTTACATGCCTTTCACTTCAGAATACATCCCTCACCCACCTGAAGTCATCCCTTGTAACAAATTTTAAAAGGAGTTCAGGAAATCCACGCAGCACGTGCATTGTCTGACCTCCTCCCTTCTCATAAATAGGAGGTTTCTGTTAAAGCAGCCTTAGATCATCCCAAGAAAGGAGGAAAGTCATGACCTCTGATCTGTTCTAACTCTAAACTTAACTCTTTTATTCCTGGCTTCCAAGCCCTCAGCCTCCTCCTTTCTCTAACCCATTCTCCTTTTTATTGCTCTCTACTGGTCCCATCCCCTACCAATTAGTGCTAGAAATCTTGATGGGCTCTGCCAAGAAGAAAGGAGTTCTCTCTACCTTAGTGAGAATTAGTCTGAATGCCCCATCCACTACAGGAATATTAGTGTTGGAAAAGGAGTCCCTGTGCAGAAACAACAACAAAGAAACTGTAATAAGGGAAATGGCAGACTCCAGAGTCCTTGGATAGAAGGGTAGCTTTTATTGAAAAAGAACAGATTAGATAAGAGGGATAGTCAGCGTGTCTAAAAGATACACTTCTTGGAGGAAATCCACCAAAGGGAAGGAGAGAAGCATCACGGGGATCATTTCGGTGAAGACCAAGTGAGGGAGAGACTGAATGTGTTATAGACTACCCGGCCAGAAGGGATAATTGGATCTTGAGTTCTGGCAACAGACCCCAAGCTGACACGGAGGCAGGGGAGGGTTGTAATGGGGGACTTTATCTGGGTATCTGTTGGAGCTCTCTCCATACGTGCTAAAGCAGAGTAGCTAAGGTCTTTCTCAACTTGCTTTGGCAATAATTCCATCCTTCAGAAGGTGAAAGATTTGATGATGTGATCTACTATTCTGGACTTGATTTTGAACCAGAACAAGGCATCGGTTGCTAAAGCAGAACCGAGGAAAACCTTGGGTGGAAGAGACTACCTGTAGAATGCAAGCTCCCTGAGGGCAGGGACTATTTCATTTTTGTCTTTGTATTTCCAGTGCCTGGTACATAGTAGGTGCTCAATAAAAGCTTTTTTATTCATTGATTGGAGCTTAATGAGGTGAGGAGTACAGACTGAATGTAATCCATGTATAATGTAATCTTTGGGAGAATGGGCTTCAAAAATTCAAAAGAAAGATAGACATAGGATCTCATGGCCTGAGAACCTGCAGAGTGAGTTGTCTCAAGAGGGAGGGCATGTTCCAAAGAAGAAAATTCTGAGGACACAAATATAGCAGTGTGGTACAGTGGAAAGAAACCTAGTTCCAGAGTTAGAGAACACGGATTTAAACTCCACTTCTGATTTATATAACCCGGAGAACCTCAACTTTCTTGGGCCTCAGTTTCCCTACCTGTAAATATGAGGGGATTGGACTAGATGACCCCTGAGTTCTGTCCCAGTCTAAGTCTATGATCCTCTGATCTCTGACGAGTGGTCATCCATGACAGACCTTCAGTGATGGGGAAACCCAGAAAGTCCTCCCAAGATAATTAATGTATGCAAAGTCCTTTGCAATGCTTCAGGTCTTTAGAAGCATCAGCTGTCATCAATAGCATTGGGAGCAGTGTCCTCAATATTATAGTGAGTGGGGCCAGTGGTCCCCACAGCAGAGGCTGATACGCAAAGTGCTAGAGTCAAGATTAGAGCTCAGGACTTCCGATCCCCAAACCAATACCAGGCCCAATTATCCATGCTTTCCCATTGGACCAGTGATAAATGATCATCTGTACCCAGCAAATTGTAGTTTACAAAGCACTTTCACAGTATCTAGGCCCAGGGATGGGGAACCTATGGCCTCGAGGCCATATGTGGCCTTCTAGGTCCTTGGGTACAACCTTTTAACTGAGTACAAGTTTTACAGAACAAATGCTTTTATTAAGGGGATTTGTTCTCTGAAGTTTGGATTCAGTCAAAGGGCCGAGCTTGAGGACCTAGAGGGCCACATGAGGCCATAGGTTCCCCACCCCTGGTCTAGGGGGTCAAACTATAGCCCATATGAGTTCTGATCTTACCTGTGTAACTTTACTGTCTAGGTGGTCTTAATCAAGGGTAGAACTGTTTGTATCAATAACAAAAATAAGTACATATACACATACATGTATATATACACATATATGTATACACACATGCGTGCATTGTGACGCTATTGCTTATTTGTTACATTACTGAATTGGGTAAGGGACTTCACTGTATGTATGTACCTGGTTACGTTTATTATATCTCCCCCTTTAGAATGGGAGCTCCTGGAGGGCAGGTACTGGTTTAGCCTTTCTTTGTGTCCCCAATCCTAAGCACAAGTCCTGACACTGAGTTAATGCTCAATAAGTTCTTTATCTGTCAATCTTTACAAGGCCTCCACCCTAGAACTTGTTCAGTCATTTCAGTTGTGTCCAACTCTTCATGACCCCATTTGGGGTTTTCTTGGCAAAGATACTGGAATGTCTGCCGTTTCCTTCTCCAGCTCAGTTTAGAGATCGGGAACTGAGGCAGACAGGGTTAAGTGATTTGCCCAGGGTCACACAGCTAGTAAGTGTCTGAGGCCAGATTTGAACTCAGGAAGGAGTCTTCCTGACTCCAGGCCCATCGATCTATCCAGTGTGTTACCTACGGTCCCCCCTAGAATCCTAGAACTGTGTATACGTTAAACGCTACCTGAAAACCATGTAAATGAAAATAAGCCCCCACATGTGTGCTGCGTGTGGAACTTGAAAGAACAACCACTCTACCATCGCCAACCACCCAAGACGTCCTCCGTCACCAGTGTGAATCACTAGAAGAGACCATCTTGCCTCCTCACCAACTAAAATGCCAAGAAATCCAAAGGAGAGCTTGAGAAAAAAGAGGAGGCAGGACTCGCACCCCAGCAGCAGGGCCTCTAGAAAGGAGGGACGGGAAAGCAAAGAATGAGCCGGTGCGCTGCCCTGAGCGGGGTGGCTCCCTGTCATGGTGTGGGCCAAGCTTGCCTCCCTGTGGGTTCTCCGCAGTGAGGTCACGTTCTAGGCATCCACGGATGGCTAGAGGTCACGTTCTAGCCATCCACGGATAAAGACCCGTGTTGTCCCACCGCGGTGCTGGGCTGGGTGGGAAGCCCATTCACGATGGAGGGAAGGGCTTTGGAGAACATTTGGTCTAGAGACCCTTCTGAGGGCGGCCACGGACGCCAAGGGACTTGCAAAGAACTTCTGAGCTAACACATGGGGAAGCCAGGATTTGGAACCAAGGCCTTTAAAAGTCCAAGTTCAGAGACCTTTCCGGGGCTGAGAGCTAAGTAACCCGCGTCTAGGCCTTTGCCCCAACGGGCTGTACTCTCCCTGAGGGCAAGGTCTGGGCCGCGCCTGCGCACTGAATGCGCTGAACAAAGGGCCGTTGAAGTTAGTGGAACCAAGTTGGGAGATTTACCGCCCAGTTGCTCAGGCGCGCCCAGGGCAGCTCTAAGAGCCCCGCCCCTTTCCCTTTTTCCGAGAGTCGGCCTTCTACGTTTAGGCCCCATCCGTCTGATTGACAGTCCCCAGCACCAATCATCCGTCCGGCCTCCGCCGAAGCTTCTCTTCGGGGCGGGACTTCCTGTGCCGGTTGCTAAGACAATCTTGTTTCCCTCCTTGACAACGCCAGGGAGGCGGCGGCTGCGGCGGCGCTGGGGCACCGGCGGCGGGAGCAGGTGAGGGCGGCCCCGGGGGGGCTGGGGGAGGGCGCCCCGCGGCCGTGTCCGTCCCCGAGGCCGAGGCCGGCCCCCGCCCCGGGCCTGCACGGCGCCGGTCTCGGAGCCCTCGGAGCCCCGGAGACGCGCGGCCTCGGCTCGCAGGCCCCGGCTGCCTGCCCGGCGCCCGCCGACCCTTAGCCCCGGACCGGGCGGCCGGGGATCTTCCATACCCGCGGTCGGCGGGCCTCAGTTTACCCGGCCCCTTCTAGCCCCAGATCCGTGACCTGGATTCCAACCCCGTCTGGCCCGCTTACCCCTGGGGAAGCCCCTTCACCACTCTGTGCCTCAGTTTCCTCGTCTGTAAAATGAGACGGTTAGATTAGAAGTCCTCCAAGATCCCTTTCATCTCGGCATCTGTGCCCTGGATTCAAACCCTGGCTGGGCGGCTCACTTGTGTGACCCAGGGGAAACCCCTTCACTACTCTGTGCCTTAATTTCCTCATCTGTAAAATGAGAGGGTTGGTTTGACTGGCTTTTTAGATCTGTTCCAGCTCCAGATCTATGACCCTAAGACCCTGTATCCAAAATCCTACTTAGGCTCCTTCTCCAAAAATGCCTCCTTTCTGATTTTTTCCTAATTCAGTTCATCCAACAAATTCTTCTGCCCAGTCCAGCACTTCTTTCCCCTCCACATCATCCGGTATCCCCTCCTGCTTTACTCCAGGAGACCCTTCTTTTGTCTGAGTCAATCCCCTCTTGCCTGCCTTTGACCTCTTGTTTTCATCAGCAACTTGGCCTTTCCATCATCCCCTTCTTTCTCTCCTTAATTTTTCTTCTCTTTTCTAGTAGCTTCTTGCCTCTGCCTGCAGACTTGTCCTCTCCTGGCAGCCTTTAAAAATACTGGACCCTCACTTGATCCTCCCCTCCCCTCCAGCTATTATCCTTTAACGCCTTTTTGTTTCCTTTCATGGCCTTGCAAACTTGGCTTCCACTCCCTGGGCGCCATTATTTCCACTTTCCCTCGCATTGCTTCTGTATTCTCCACTTTGCTTCCACCTCCCTCCAACCCAAAATTGCTTTTATTTTCCTGGCCCTGTTTCCTAATATCCCATTCATTTCTCAGCCCCTTGCAATCTGGCTGGCTTCCTTCCAGTCTACTTGTCTAAAACTGCCCCTCCAATGATCTCTGTGATGCTAAATCCAATGGGTTTTTTCATTCCTCATCTTGACTTCTTTGCAGCGTTTGACTGTTAACCACCTCTTTCTGTGCTAGTGCTCTGATTGTTTGTGGTACACCTAGGGTCCTGTCTTGGGCCCTCCACTCTCTCTCTCTTTTTCCACCGGCCCTCTTGATGATCTCACCAGTCTCCATAGGTATGACCATCACCTCAATGCAGTTGACTCTCTAATCAACATACTCAGTCCTCATTTCTCTCCTAAGTACTGGTACCTGTCATGTAGGCGTCTCCAATGTAACACGTCCAAAATGGAACATGTTCTTTTCCCCTGTTCCTATTGGATATGCCTCTAGTCTTCCAGTGACCCACCTCCAAAGCCTTGAGGACATCCCTTCACTCTGATTACCCTCCCTATTCAATCAGTTGTCAGTATAACCGACTCTCCTTCCACCGCCTCTTTGGCACCTGTCCCCTTCTCTCACCCTCATTCAGTTCCCCTCTCTCCTAGGCTTTTGCCAGAGCCTCCAAATCGATCTCTGTATACAGTCTCTGCCCCCTCCAGTTCATCCTCCTGACAGCTGCCAAATTGATATTCCTTACGCACTGGTCTCATTTCCTTCTCAAGAAGGTTCCTTGTTACTTGGAGAATAAAATGCAAACTCCTCTGTTTGGTATTTAAAGCCTTTCACAGCGACTCCAGCCTCTCTTCCAGCAGATTACGCATCACTCCCCCTCACAGACTGTTTCAGCCAAACTGGCCTACTTAACTGTTTTCCTATACACAACATTCCACCCTCTCCCCCCCCCTCCCATTTCCACGACTGTACAACCTGTCCCCTTTAGCTGAAATGTTTTCCAACCTCTTAGAATCTCTAATAACTTTGGAAGCTCAGCTCAGGGGCTATTTGCTTCAACAGACAGGTAAAATAGTAGAGAGAAAATTCTGGACTTGAAGTCAGCAAGATCTGGGTTCACAATCCTGCCCCAGGTACTTCTTAGCTTTGTGACTCTGAACAAGTTTCTTAACTTCTCTGTGCCTCAGTTTCCTCATATGTAAAATGAGGAGGTTGAACTCAATGGCCTATAAGGACCCTTCTAACTCTAAATCTGTGATCCTAATTCATCAAGTTCTCAGTAGCTCCTAATTACATTGTATTTATTTTTCATATACTCTATCTGTATACATGTTGTATGTCCCTGGTAAACATAAGGAGGAGAGATGGCCATTCCTTGCATGGGGAATGTCATAAATACTCATTATACACTAAGGCTGGAAAAGCAAGGTGAGAAAAGAATAGTAATCAATTCCATTTAGTTGGACAAAGTAGCATGAGGAAAGTCATGATGTGAGATGAGAATTGGAAGGGGTCTCAGAAGTCATCTGGTCCAATCCATATCTGAAGAGGAAACCCTTCCCCCCATGATGTCCTTTTTATCTCACTGCTATCATCTGAAAACAGGCCCTCATCCTATCTTGGCTCCGTTGTCAAAATAACCGCCTAACTGTTCTCTCTGCCTGTAATCCATCCTACACACACTTGTATAATCTTCCCCACACACACAGCTCTGATTATGTTATTTCTCTACCCAGAAGCCTTTGAGGGCTCCCCATTGCCGATTGAAAAAAGCCCCAAAGCGCCTGTCTGACTTTCCACCGTGATCTCCCACTATTCCAGTACACACACACATCGGAGGGTTGGGCCAAATGGAACTCCTCTTACTCCACTAACATGTCCCATGCTTTTCTGCTTTGCTCATATGACATCTCCATCTAGAATGTTTTTCTCTCCCCACTTTTCCTATTTAAATACTTTCCATTTTACAACGCCAAGCTGAAATACCACTTCTATGAAGTGATCTCCTCTGAATTCTCATTGCACTTTTTACGCATACTTTTCCTATGGGACTTGATTCTTTATCAAGTTCACTTAATCACTTTCTATCTTGTGTCGTAGTTATTTGTGACTTCTGTATACAAATAACTCTAAGAGGCAGAGATTGTGGGAAAACTGTGCCTTCTTGCAATGTGCCACAGTGGAAAGAGAACCAGGCTTCTCTCCGTTCCAGCTGTGCCAAAAGCTTGGGCAGTTCACTCAAACTTTTTGACCCTCATTTTCCTCATCTATAAAGGAGGGCTTGGACCAGATGATTTCCAAGGTCCCTTGTACCTCCCAGAGTTTAGGATCTCTGTGTCATCTGGCTCTAGCATCACAGGGCCCTCCACATATCTGGGGCCCAGTAAATAAAAGGAGGCGGAGGAGAGGCTGATGGGGATGGAGGGCAGTGGGAACAGCAGCCCGAGACAGCACAGGGCAGGATGAGATGGGGGGCCAGTGAGAAGTAGCTCCATCTGGCCAGGGAAGGAGAACAGTTAAGATGAGGGTGGAAGCTTCCTCACCTCTCAGAATTTTGGAGTTGGAAGAGATTCCAGGCCAATCTGCACTTCAGTAGGAAGATTGGTCTGCCTCCATGGAAAGAGTATTGTGTGTGGAGTCTACAAAGCCAAGTTCAAATGGTCCCTCACCTCACTCCTTCTGTAAAATGGGATTGGTCTAGACCAGAGGGGTCAGGGACACCATCAGCCACTTGTGGGCCACAAGTGCCCACTCCAGGGCAGGAGTGGGGAACCTGCAGCCTTGAGGTCACATGTGGCCTTCTAGGTCCTCAGTTGCAGCCTTTTGGCTGAGTCCAAGTTTGACAGAACAAAGCCTTTTATAAAGGGGATTTCTTCTGTGAAGTTTGGATTCAATCAAAGGGCCACACTTAAGGACCCTACAGGGCCACCTGTGGCCTTGAGGCCAAAGGTTCCCCACCTGCTCCAGGTTAAAATGTAATTGGGAAATGTTTAACAAAATTAAAATTCAGTAAAACATAGATTACATTACATTTTAAAACTGGATCACTGTGAGGTCTAGATCCCCAGTAAAATCCCTCTAAAAATTGACAATCCCTTGATCTCTGGCAAGTGGTGATTTGTGTTTGGCTTACAGACTTTCAAGTGGATGGGGAACCTCATAGCTCCTGAGGCAGCCCCTCCCTACCTACTGATCACTTGTGCCAAATGAGGGGAATGGACTACAGACTCGTCAGCCGCCCCCCACCCCAGCACAGGGGGCATAGAACAGCCAATCATTCATTTAACAAGTGTTTATGTCCTTCGAGAAGGGGATGTGGAGATGGTAGTCATGGCAGCAGATGGCCTTGTCAACACTGTGTAGAAACACCCCCCAACCCCCAGTACTAGAGAACAGGCAGTTGGAGGTCTCATTTCCCCTTACCTGGGACTCTTGGAGTTCTGAAGAATCCTTAGTATGTCTGTCTTAATGCCCTGTGTTTCTTTGCTTTCTCTACCAATGTTTAGCCAACAGGTAGAAGAGTGGGGGTGGGGGGGAGAGGAGAGGGCATGGCCAGAGTTGGAATTGTGGGTATGTGTGTAATAATATGTGGTTCAAGGGAGATGGACAGAAATGGACATAGACCTGGGCTAGCCTTGTCCTAGCTTATTCTATAATAACTGGATTATCAGTTCCTAGAGGTGCAGTGGTGCTGTGTGTGCATCTACACTTCTTTGTAACCCCCTTCTTGGGGAGAGTGTTCTGCACACAGTTGAATAAATGGTTGGATGTGGGGAAAGAGGACTTGCAGCCTTCCATCCTGCCCCCCCAGTGTGTTCCAGAGAGCTTCCAAGTGTCTAAGTCTTCTCCTAATTAAGAATGGTCAATGGGCTTGAGTCTGTGGGCTGCCTCTCCCTGGGGTGAATGGAGGGGATTGGGGGAGGGGCTCTACTGAACTCGGAGCATTTCATTTCTGGCCGCCATTATTCACTGACTGTGAATAAGA